AACACTTGATCCTCTCTCCTGAACTACATCAGTAGTTACACAACAATTGTGGGTTCCAGAGCTGGGCAGGCTGAGTTAGAATCCACTAACTGGTTAGAAACCTACAGCAAGCAGTTTGATCCCACTGGGTCTTAGTTTCACCATTCATATAACGGGCACAATGAGAACACCTGCTGCACATGGTTGTTACAGGGAACAAACGAGTCTCTGTGAAGCATTTAGAGTGTTCAGCTCCTCCTCCTTTGTCTCCTTGCTTCAACCCACCATACATTTTGCTGCCAGGAAGATTTTCCTAAAATGTGAACATGCTCACTTCATATGTCTCTTAGAAACCTTTAAGGACCCTCAACAGCCTTAGATGAAGTCAGTTCTGAGGTGGACACTTGATACCCTTGTGGCTGACCCATATTACTTCTGGCCATACCTTGAACTAGAACCTTGGAGAACCCTGTGCAGCTCCCTAGGGGTTATTCTATTTCTATGGGGGCCTTGGTGTGTACTCCCTTTCCTTGGATACTCTTCAAGCTCTCTGATAGGATTCTCTTTGTTTCCATGTTTGGTCTAGGTTTTACGACCAATCATCTGGCTGTTCATCCCTCTGCATCTTGAAAGTAGGCCTTTGTGAGCTTGCCTCTGCCTTCCCAAATCAATCACAGCGTGATGAGTGTCATGAATGCTTCGTTCATTTTTGGTGGACACTGCTAAATTGGTAGTTTGAGGAGAACTGATGGACACGAGAACATTCCTCTGGTTGAAGAACTATGTGATGTGGTCCAAACCTTTCAGAGCCTCTCCAGCCTGGCAGCACAAATGAAGTCACATCAAGAGTGACAATGCTGATCCCATTTGCTCAGAAATTATGTGTTCAGGCAGGGCTCTGGAAGAGATATGAAAGACTCACCGGAGGTCCCTCCTATGTGCCCCTGTGGGTGTGACTGTGGCTGGGCATGGTCCTTAAAGCCTGGAGGACTGCTATCCTTGCAGGGCCAGGCTCTTGGGGTGGCCTGTGGAAACTTTCTAGTTTCTCTTCAGCAAGTTTGCTGAAGAGATTGGTGGGCTGTTCAGAAACAGTGTTGACCTGGAGGCGGGAACTCAGCATTGTCCTTCCTTTGCCCAAACAAGGGAGCTGAGGCTCAAGCTCCCCATTCCTTGCCTTTGAATCCTTCCTGGGGAGTTCTTTTCCAGACTATTCCCCATTCTCTTAAAAACTGGCTTCTACTGTTACCTCAACTTCCATTTGCTTATGAGGAAGGCCAGAATCCATGCTGGAATTCCTGCTAATAGGCTAAAGACTCTGTTCTGATAAAAACCACATGGGTCAGGCCAATCCCCAGAAAGGGCCGCTCTCTGAGGATGATTCTAGTACCTCAGTTGTTTTCGGGAGCCTCCTCTGTCCATCACTTTGTGACTGCATCTGCCGAGGGCAAGTTCTTACCAGTGCACCGGGGCAGAAGTTCCTGTTGCTAAATTCTTACTCCATGCAAAGGCAATAGGATGCAATGCTAGTTCAGCCAAGACCTTCAGGCTGTCTCCTGGCTCTGGTCAGAGCCGCAGCCTTGGTCAAAATTGCAGAGGATCCAGCAGAGTGGACGGGGACAATGTGAACACTAGTCTAGGGTTCATAGTATTCTCTAGAAGTTGGGGAAGGCTCTGGTCAGAGCCGCAGCCTTGGTCAAACATTGCAGAGGATCCAGCAGAGTGGACGGGAACAATGTGAACACTAGTCTAGGGTTCATAGTATTCTCTAGAAGTTGGGGAGGGCAGCTAATTTCTTCTACAACAGGTTTCTCAGAAGTGCCCCAGTTAGCACCTAGTGAATGAACAACACAGTTTGCATAAGCTTTCTCAGAGACTTCCGGGGAAATGATGTTACTCAAGATCAGCTCATCTAAGGTCTTTATCAGAGTCTAACTAAGTGAGCTCCAATTCTGAGTCACCAGGACCAAGCCACTCCTTCCAAGTACTCCCAGTGTGGGGCCCATCAAATCACCATAACAACTGAAAGGGAAGGACAGAGAGCCCCATACCTATACCTCTTCTGCCCAACAAACCCAGATGCCCTGGAGAGCAGCTGGAATTCTCACAAGTAGCTGGGGGAATAGTACAGTACAAACAAACCTCTTGGTAAAATACAGGAAGAGCCCCCTAACCCCCCCATGTCCGTGGGGTCTGAGTTCATAGTTTCCGCATTCACAGATTCAACTTACTTCAGGTTCAAAATATATATTTGAAAAATTATGTCTACACTGGACATGTTCAGGCAATTTCTTGTCATCGTTCCCCACACAACACAGTAGGACTGTGTTGTAAGGCTTAGGCACTTTCAGTAATCTGGGATTGGCTCAAAGTATGTGTGACATTGGTTTGCATTGGTTCTATGTCTATGGGACTTGAGTGTCTGGGAGATTGCTACCTGCAGAGATTTTGGTACCTGCAGGGATTTTTAGAGCTGATTCCCTGAAGACGCAGAGAGATGTCTGCTAATGTATCAGCTCTTTGAAAACTGAACTTACTACAATTTGAGCACTTCCAGATGCATTTCACCTCCAAATGCCTCAGGTACCAGGCATTGCATCCTAGGTATTTTGCTAGGAGAAATAAAAGTATGGATCTGCCAAGGACTGTGCATGAAGCTCACAGGAACCTCCAGGTACTAACTGCCAACAGGAAACCACTCAAATCTGAAGAAACAGGTAAATGTGTAAATAAATCCTGACAGTAGAATAATAGAAAAGACCCATGAGGGCTGGTGAGAAGGCTCAGAGGGTAAAGGCACTTACTACTGAATTTGATGCAAATTTGGTTCTGGGGACCCACATGGCTGAAGAAAAAAAATCATCTCCAAGTTGTCCTCTGGCCTCTATATAAATCATGAATGCTGCATGCATTACACACACACACACACACACACACACACACACACACACACACACACACCTGCAGGCATGCAAGCACCCATGCATACACACGCTGTAGGTATATGCAACACCTAGACAAATCTCAAACCAATTATGCTGAGTGGAGGTAGCAATAAAGAGGGAACTGTACAATTTTATTTCTGCAAATTTCTAGAAAGAGCCTATGCTTCTTGGTGACATGAGGCAGGGCCAGCGGTTGCCTGGGCCTGGAGGCAGGGGTTGGGAGAAGGTGAGGAAACCTTGGAGCAGATGCCTGTGATGGAGATGCAAATTTATACAATGTTTATTATAAGTCAGCGGCACCCCCGTGAAAAATGAGACAATCCAATGATACCTGAAGTAGATTAGAGGGGGAGATTGAAGGGCCCAGTGTAGTTGGTTCCTGTGAGTGGTGGGGCTGAAGGGGAGTGTGGCTAGGAAAGAGCTGGGCCTGGGCTGTTCTTATTGATGGTTACAGTAAAGACTTACTGTGCCTCTAAGGACTTTACACAGAGTTCACAGCTTGTCTTCCTCACATCAGACACGAAGCTGTAAGAGCTAAGGCAATGTTCCACTCAGGCCCTTCGACGGGAAAGGCAGAGTTAGGTCTATCTTTGGACTGCCAGCTGTTCCCTCTACCCTTCACAGTAATGCTGGTGCCTCGGCTCACCAGCCTTCCAGAAAAAAAAAGTGGTCAGACTTCAGGGAGGAAGTGAAGTGGGGAGGGGGCTGGCAGCTGGTCTTTGGCTCCTCTTGCCATCTTGGTCAGGTGATCTGGATTTCTTCCCGCTGGGCACAGGCTGGGCAGCAGTGTTCCCTCTTCTTGTAGTCTGCAGAGCAGGCATGGCAAACCAAGCCTCCACAGAGCCTGGGGAGCAGACAGGGAAGCCTGGGTTGGCTTCTAGGGGAGCATCTGCTGTTCCTGTGGTCCATCAGGGCAGCCTTGGCTAGCTCAGGATGCTTCCCCTTTCCCACAGGCTGTCTTGATGTCCAACTCCAGAGCATCTAACTCAGGTAGCTGCTTCGGCTGCTTTTTTCCTCCTCCTGCTAGTCCTCCCCTAGAAGTCAGTGGGGAGGCGGAGGGGAGTGTTCTTTCTCTGTACAGAGGCACTGGGACCCTCTCCCTAGACAGAAGCCCAGCAGGGCATTCTGGGAGGTTACTGGCCTCATCTTCTAGGACCTTTCCTTCTTCGTGGCCCTGCTCACTGTTCTCTTTCAGGAGTCTGCTTAGCAGCAGTAGCCACAGGGGGTGACACACGTGGACAGCTCAAGTGGGTCTTTATAAACAACCATTTCCCCATGCCCTAGCACAGTGGTGAACATCTGTAATGTCATCGAGCTGGAGTGACTGAGTCAGGAGGATCATATGTTTGAGTTCCTTCTGAGTCACATAATGAGTTACAGGCTAGCCTGGGGTACATCATGAGACCCTGTCTCAAAATAGCCAACTAAACCAAGACTGTTCAGATAGCTCAGTGGGTAAAGGCACTTGCCACCGAATGGGATGACCTGAGATGGATCCCTAAAACCACATGGTAGGAGAGAACCAACTTCTGCAAGTTGTCCTCTGACCTCCACACACGTGGTGTGGCTCATGTGTGCACGTATATGCGTGTGAGTGTACACACACACACACACACACACACACACTAAAATAAATGTTAAAAAAGAAAGTTCTTAAAAACCAAACAAACCAAACAAAATCAGGCATTTCCCGTGGTCCTTCCTTCCCTGGGTAGACAAAGGATTGAGGGCTGTTCCAGACTCTGGGCCTTCCCGTTACCTGCAAGGATACCGCCGAGACAGACGCCTGAAGGCCTTGTTACAGTCCACGCAGTGCCCAGGGGCCACAGTAGACAGATGTTGGAGCCTCTGCCACTGGTGGTCCTTCTCACTGATGAAGGGGTGGAGGGGGAGACATAGAGAAAGGAAGAGAAAGAGAGAGAGGGGGAAGTGGTGATGGAGGAGATAGGGTCTCACATTGGCTTGAAGCTTGCCAAGTAGGTGGTGCTGGCTAGCCAGTAAGTCTCATAGATCTGTCTGTCTTTGCTTCCTTAGCACTGAGATTGATTATATGGGTTTAGGGGATTGAATTCTAGTCTTCATGTTTACATGTCAAGCACTTTACTGACTGACCAAGCTCTCTAGCCCTTATCAGTGGTGTGTGTGTGTGTGTGTGTGTGTGTGTGTGTGTGTGTGTGTGTGTGTGTTGTTTGTATGCAGACATGCAGACAAAACACTCATATACATAAATAGATATTTAAAAGCGTAAACAGGGGCTTGTGAGATGGCTCAGAGGGTAAAAGTACTTGCTGCACAAGCCTGGCAACCTTAGTCTGATTGCTGGAATCCTCACAAAAGTGGAAAGGAGAGGATGGACTGCACAAAGCTGCCCTCTGACACATGTGTCCCCATGATGCACACACAAACACACAACAACAAACAAAAAGTGTTTAAGTAAAAATCAAGCTGTACAAAGGGGTTAACATAAAAAGCCTAGCCACCTTCCTAGCCTTCCCTTTCCAGTGATAAACCACTTCTCCTTGGCATTCCTTCCACATTTAAGTAACAGGTCCGCATACTTCCTTTGGTAGAAAATGTTCTCTGTGGAGCTCCATCCCTTGATTTTGGAGGAGTCCTCCCAATGTGGTCGGGTCCCTAGCTTGGGTTCCTCTGTCAGTTACTCTTGTCAAGTCACAGGATATCATTCTATATTCTCCTTCTGCTAGCCATGAGCAGTTTCTTGTGGCTTTCATTCCATCCTACAAACCTCCCTTCCCTTCAGCCCCCCACCCCCAACTTGTCACCCACTAAAGCGACCAGTGTGGAAGCCACTAGCCATGAGTTTGCTTTCATGTAAATCAAATAAGAGGAGAACTTCAGTTGCACCAGCTCAGTATCTCAAGCTTGCAGCTTCTTCCCAGGCTTAGCCACCATCACAATCAAAGCACAGACACGGAACAGGCTCATCCTCACAGAACACGCGAGCTGAATCTTTTCTATTATTTAATACTACATCCGCATTCCGTGTGTGTGTGTGTGTGTGTGTGTGTGTGTGTGTGTGTGTGTGTGTGTGCGCGTGTGCGTGTATCTTCAGCTGTGTTTGATATGTACATATATGTCTGTGTATGTGCACATGCATGTGTGTGAAGGCCAGAAGTTGCCCTCCACCCTTTTTGAAACAAGTCTGGAGCTCACTGATTGGGCTACAATGGCTGGCTAATGAGCTCTGGGGTTTCTGTGTATGCCTTCCCCAGTGCTGAGGTTTCAGGTGCACACTGCCATGCCTAGCTTTAATTCTGGGTGCTAGGGGATCTCAACTTAGGTCCCCATGCTTTTGTGGCAAATACTTCACTAACTGGCCATCGCCCCAGGTTCCACATTCTGTTTTGTCATTCCAATTGTTGTTTTTTCCTCTTTCGTTCTTTCTTTCTTTCTTTCTTTCTTTCTTTCTTTCTTTCTTTCTCTCTGTGTAGCTCTGGCTGTCCTAGAACTCACTGTAGACCAGGCTGACCTTGAACTCAGAGACCCTCCTGCCTCTCCCTCCAGAGGGCTGGGATTAAAGATGTGTGCCACCACTGCCCTTTTCTGCATTATCGTCAATATTCTAGCGCACTGAAGAAGACCGGAGGCTGAGGTTACAGTCAACAGTGGAGGGCTTGTCTAGCACTGATACTGGATTAAGTCTCCAGCATCGCAAAAACAGACAAAATGAACATGACAAATGAGTAGCATCTATGTTATTAGATAATATATACGTTTTCTAAATAAGTTGTGTTCTTAAATTTATATTGCTTTATTTGTTTATTATGCTGTGTGTGTGTGTGTGTGTGTGTGTGTGTGTGTGTGTGTAGACACACTACCATGTACACAAGGAGATCAGAAGACTCACTGGACTTGGTTCTCTACTCCCACCATGTAGGTCTCAGGAACTGAACTTGGCAGATGAGCCATCTTGCCAGCTCTATTGTTCCTTTCTTAAAAGTCAGGGAGGTGGGATCTCTGAGTATCACCTGGGGCTGTCCTTGAATGTCCTTGAACCAGTGGCAGTCCTCCTTTTCAGTCTCCTGAGTACTAGAGTTACAGGTGTGAGCCATACTCCCGGTCTTTCTGGAAGTTCCTAATTGTCTTTCTTTTCATTTTATTTGTATTATTATTTTATGTGTGTGGGTGTTGTGCCTGCACGAATGTCTGTGCATACATTCATTCAGGGCCCACGGAGGCTAGAAGAAGGTGGCTAATACTCTGGGACAGGACTTACAGACAGTTGTGAGCTACCTTTTGGGTGCTGGGAATCAAATCTGAGTCCTCTAGAAGAGCAGCCAGTGCTCTTAACCGCTGAGCCAGCTCTTCAGCCCTCTAAGTGTCTTTCTTGACTCATTGCATCACCTGCCTTTAACATACTATTTTCCCTCTCATCATCATCATCATCATCATCATCATCATCATCATCATCATCACTGCTACCACTACCATCACTATTGCTGTTCACGGGTCATTTCTATATAGCCCAGGCTGGCCTTGAACATGCGATTTTCCTTCCCCAGTTTTCCTTGTACTGGTAATTCAGGCATGTACCTCTTACTACTGTGTCTGATTTGTGCCCGACTTGCCTGAATCCTTCATCACAGCAAGTATTCTCCCGACTCTTCTGTGCATGCACCACCGTGGTGATTCCCTTTTCTTTCTCCTAGGTGGAACGGTTGCTCCCTGAATTACATCTTCTCCTTTCTTGGCTTATTTCCTTTTTTGTTTGTGGAGCACATCCTCTATGAACTTCTTAAGAAAGGCTGTGTAGGAGTTGAATTTTCTGAGACCTGTCTGATTAATGCCTTTGGCCATCACCTTTGTCATTTAGTTTATCTGACATGGAATTCTACTTCAAGAGTAGGCTTTTCAGAGAACTTGAGAGTCACTACATCACAGACACTGACACATGTTGAGTCTTCCTATCCTTATGTGTTTTGTGCCTTCCTCCAGATGATTTAAAAATAATGCTTCTCTTTGCTTCTGTGAAACTTCACAGTGCCGTATCTAGATATGAAGAGCAAATTTCCCCTTTTGTTTATTGTGCTTAGCATTCAGTGAGATTTAAGGACCGGTGTCCATCAGGGCCTGAAAATGCATATTTTTAATCTTTGTAATATTTGATTTGATAACCTACTTAATTTTAGTTTCTTCTTTTGAAACCTCTGCCAGTTGGAGAGGGTATTAGGACTCCTAGACTGGTGTGTGTGTGTGTGTGTGTTGTGCATGCATGTGAAGGCCAGAGGTTGATATTGGGGCATCTTCCTCAATTACATTCCACCTTGTTTTTTGAGACAGCCTCTTTGACTGAACCTAGAGCCCACCTATTTGGCTAGATTAGGTGGCCAACCAGCCCTGGGATCCTCTTGCTCTCTCTAGCACTGGGTTTATATGCATGCTACTCCTGGTTCTTAACATTAATGCTAGGGATCTTAACTCTGGTCCTCATGATTACATGGCAAGCATTTACCCACTGAACCATCTTCCTGCCCCCCACCCACTGATTTCTATTTCTCCATTTCTCTAATTACTTACACCTGCTTTTATCCCGTTTCTGGGAGCCTGCTTTTATCTAACTAATTAATTAATTTAGTTAGTTAGTTTTGTTTTTTGAGACTGGGGTTTCTTAGCGTAACAGCCCCGGCTGTCCTGGAACTCTGTAGACACCAGGCTGGCCTCAAACTCACATAGCTCCGCCTACCTCTGTACCCCCCTCCCCCTCCCACCCCCAGTGCTGGGACTAAAGGTGTACACCTTCACATCTGGCCTATCTTTATTTTCTAACCCTTTTGGTGAATTGGACGAATCAATAATCTTTTTTTTTTTTTTTTTTTTTTTTTGGACAGGGTCTCACTAAAGCCCAGGCTGCTAATCCTTTTGGAGAATTGAATCAACAATCGTCTATCTATCTATCTATCTATCTATCTATCTATCTATCTATCTCTATCTATCTACCTACCTACCTACCTATCTTTTGAGACAGGGTCTCACTACAGCCCAGGCAGCTCTAGAACACACAATCCTGCTGCCTCCACCGCCTCAGTGCTAGGATGACAGGGCTGACTGTGTGCACACACGTGTGGTCAGAGGACAGCTTTCAGGAGCTGGTTCTTTCCTTCCACTTTGGGCTCTGGGACTCTATTTCAGGTCATCAGGCTTGTGCTGCAAGTGCCTTTATCTGTCCACCTTAAATTATTTGTTAGTTTCCTCCAAGCTGACCTTGGTCTCTTTTCATTTTTAATGTGTGAGTTCTACGCACAAGAATTTAGTTGCGGATGACTCACCACTGGAACCTGAGACCAGTGGTGTCGGTCCCCTGAGCTGCATGGAAGGAGTGCACATGTGTGTGAGTGTCCATGTCTGTGGAGGCACACAGGTGTCTGTTATCTCCCTACCTGACTGAACGGGTAGTGTGCTTTACATGTCTCCCCCATCTCAGTGGGCTTGGAAGTTCGAAATAAACCCTGGTGAGTGTGGCCTCTGGCACCTAGAACAGCGGCTTCAGGCTGGACCCATAGGCCCAGAGGCCTAAGGAAGTCAGTAGGCAGGTAGGTGTAGGCATGTGGCCATTTCTCTACATTTCTCCCTCCTTTCAGTTCCTTCTAAACTCGTGAGTTGGAAGAGACTGGGAACTCTTCTAACCATAATGGGAGACCGAGGGCAGTTCTGGAGGCGAGAGCATGCATTATTGTCAGAGGACTCTGTGGTTTACATGCTGTCTGTCTTTAGTGGCCACATCAGCACTGACCCTCAGTTTCTGCCTCTGTAACATGTGGCATGTAATTAGTGACAGGATGAGGTCACTCACAGAAGGAAACAAATTCACACACGAAAGGTCTAGAACCCGAGAGTTGTTAGCGGCATGGTCTTCAAGCCTGGCCTCCACAGTTCTTACCTTTCCTTCTTTCCACCCCAGTCCCAGCTCCCAGTCTCCCATTCTTACTGAATCAGTTCCAACACTCTCCTTTTCATGGCCTGGACCAGGTCCCTCTGCCCTTCAAGTTCCTTCTCATACATGGCATTTCTCCTCTCAGCCTCCCGCTGCTTCTGTTCCAGTATCACTTGCAAATGGGCTCTTTCTGCCTGACACCTGGGAACAGGAGACTCAGTTTTAGGAGAAAGGCTCAGAACCTGCGATGGGAACCCCTGGAGAAGCCGGTCTACATAGAGGTACAGCATCTACATATACAAACATACAGAGGCATGTCACACACATACATTATACGCCATGTGCACACATTACAAATACCCATCATCTCTCTGCAGCACCTGTGCACACGTGCGCGCACACACACACACACACACACACACACACACACACACACACGCACACACAGAGCCAGGTGTGATGGGGCACACGCACAATAAATGTGTATACCACACACCAAACTGAGCACCTATAGACAGATTCAGCAATTGTAGAGAAATAGAAACAGGGCCTAACCTTGAGTGTTCCTGTAGAGGGCACTACTGAACATTTCCTTCCCTCCTTTCTACCTTCTCTCTTCCCTTCCTCCTTCTCTCCCTCCTTCTTTCCTTCCTTCTTTCCCTCTCTCCCTTTTAACATTTCCACTTTAAAATGTAACTCTCTGGAATGGTATACTTATGGGAGACGTGTCTGAAAGGAGGGTGAATGCCTAGCAATCTAGGCTGGGACCACTATGACCAGCTGGGGACAACTGCATGTGGAGGGGAGAGGTGGAGACCTTGGGGTGATTCTCCTGCTTTCAAGTATTTTTAGAAGGTATGTTATATTGTCTTTTCAATTTAAAATGCAATAGGAAAAATATGGCTTTCCTAAATTTCTGTCTTGGTTTTGGGTTTGGAACTGCCGCAGTTTTATTCTTGCCTTTTCTTGTTGTTGTTAGTGGTTTTCTAGAAGGTTCCAAGAAGTTGACTAAATTGAAAATAGAATAGTCCAAGCTTCTCACTCCATGATCTGGCTGGGAGTGTACACCAGCCAGTGGTGGGTAGATGCTAGCGAGTCCAGGAATCAAATTTAGGGCCTTGTGCATGCCAGGCAGGCACTCTGCCAATTGAACTATACCCCCGGCCCTTGAACTATTGACTTTTAAAGTACAGCTGGTTAGCGGGTCCCAAGTTGGGTGCACCTTCAAATCTTACCAAGAACCGGACTTCCAAAAGGCCCATGAGAGCAGGCCTTGTCTGGACTTTTCTTAATTGCTGATATCTAGACTCCTGTAGGGGGCGCTAATCAGCATTTTTTTTTCCTCCTCTGGTTCTCTTGCTTGGTGTGCCTAGGTTCTATGTGACCACTATGGGGTGTGTGTTGGTTAGGTGGGAGGGAAACCTATCAGGCCCCTACTATGTGCTGGTGACTATTTTAGGTGCCAGTAAGAGGGTTACACCCATGACTCCCTCGGGACTTAAGGTAATTAAGCCAAGTTTAGTGACAGACCCCACCAGAGGCCAAGATGGAGACTATAGAAGGTGCTGGGGGCATTGAGACAATATGGCATTGAAGTCAGCCTTGCAAATCTGTGAGTTGGAGTGGTCTGTCTGCCTGAGTGACTGGAAGAGGTTACTAGGCAGGGACCCCAGGAAGAGGTCAAGAAAGGAAGAGATGCGGGGAGGTCAGCAGGGCCCCAGAGGAAGCCACTGAAATATTTCAAGCAGGGATGATGGGAGTGGATGTGGGAGGGACAAAGGTGTCTTGAGCCCCTAGTATATGCCAGGTATTGAACACCATAGCCTTGCTTCATTCTGTTTTCACAATGCCATCAGATGGGCTGTATAAGCCTCATTTTACAAGATAGAAAAGTAGACTCTCAAACAGGGTATCATTCTTGCCTCGGGTCACACAGCGCGGTGAGAGGATCAGAAGTCTGGACATGGTCTTGTCTACCAGCTCTTAATTCGTCTTTTCCACACTTTCAGCCACCTGGGACCCTGGTCACCAGTGCTGCGTGGGCAGTGGGTGGGCAGAGCAAATGGCTTCCTGTCAAGCCTCTCTGTCTTTCAGGATGGACTTCCTGGTTTTGTTTACCGTGGTACACCTGTCTCCTACTCCCTCATCATCACCCAGGTACAACAAACACAGCTGGTAGAGAGAATATGCTGGTAGAACTTGGACTGGCTGGTGGTGAACCCTTGTCACCAGCTGGATGCCCATGTTCCCTTTGCACAGTGGTGGGCTCAATGCGTGGCTTCTGGGTCTGGGAAGTGCTTGCTTTCTAGGCTTGGGAGTTGCTACTCCATCTACAGTCTGGAATGACTCTCCACAAACTCTCCGGCCACCTTCTCTCCAGCATGTCACATCTGACTTCTTGCCCAACAGCCCTCACTTGGAGGTCTGATGGTGTCCCAGGCTTTACAGGTTCCAAGCTCTGCTCTGGGCTTTCTATACGAGTCCATCTGTCCCAATTTTCCCCACTTCTGAGAAAAGTTGTTCTTGACTCTTTCTCTGAGACCTACAGCCAGTCTCTCAGGAAGCCCTGCTTCAAAATTTACCCACAAATCAACAGCTGTATGCCCTCTGTCACCAGCCCAGGCTAAATACCTCTGCTCTCCTCCTGTTGTGCTGGCTAGTTTCTGTCAGGTTGACACAAGCCAGGGACAACATCTTAATTGAGAAAATGCCTCCATAAGACTGGCCTGTAGGCGAGTTTGTAGGGTCATTTTCTTGATTGATAATATATGTGGGAGGGCCCAGATCATGGTGGGTGTGGCCACCCCTGAGCAGGTGGTCCTGGATGGTATAAGAAAGCAGGTGGAACAAGCCTGGAGTGAGCAAGCCAATAATCAGCACATCTCCATGGCCTCTGCATCAGCTCCTGCCTCCAGTTCCTGCTCTGACTTCTCTTAGTTCCACCGTTCTGTGGAAGTGTAAGCTGAAATAAACCCTTTCCTCCCCAAGTCACTTTTGGTCATGGTGTTTTATCACAGCAGTAGAAGCCCCAACTAAGACACTGGTTTACCAAGAAGCTTTCTGGAAAGAAGGCCTCCTGGGAGCTGCTGATGCTTGCATGAAGAGGAAAGGAAGAGCACACAGAGGGAAGAGCAGGGGCGCCAGTCTAAGGTGGGACTGAGCATAGCAGGTTCCAAGAACATGACGGAGGCCATTTTGGCCCCAATTGGGTGAGGAAAGAACCCTGTAGTCTTGTTCCATAGGGTCAGTCTGGACAAGTCCAGTCTATGAACTGGAAGAAAGTTGGAGAATGACTGCTAATGTGCACAGGAATGCTTTAGGGAGTGACAGACACCAGTGCTGTAAAATTGACGGCACTGATGGTTGTACAACTCTGCCACTATACTAAAAACTTCTGAATTGTTGAAGAATTTATAAAGCACGCACGCATGCACGCACGCACACACACACACTTTCCAGACAGGTGTTGCTTTTAGAGCCTGTCCTGGAACTTACTTTGTAGACCAGACTGGCCTCAAACTCACAGAGATCTGCCTGCCTCTGCCTCCCAAGTGCTGGGATTAAAGGTGTGTACAACCACCACCCATCTTAAAGCATATACATACATACATACATACATACATACATACATACATACATACACACACACACCCAATCAGATCATGCCCTTCCTCTACTTGGACTCTATAATGGCTCTCGTCCAACTTTGATTTAAAACCAAGGTTATTTTAATAACTTCTCAGGCTCTTTTTAAGCTGGCCCTCATTGTCCAACAGACCTTTCCTCCTTGAACCTGCTGTGCCTGTTCTGCTCCCTGATACAGGAAGTTTGATGCTGCAACATCTCTCTGGAGCCTCTTAGCTGCTCCCACCAGTTTTTCTTGAAGCCACAGAGACTCTTGCATGGCTAAGACCCCCCCCACCCCCATACACACACTTTTACTTAGGATCTGAGTCAGGGGAGTATTTGCTGTTCACAGCAGCAGCTTGGGTGGTGAACATTGGTTGGGTCCACGGGGCTTTGGGTTGGAGTCTGGGCTCTCAGGTCTGCCCCAGTTGTTCAACACATAGACGGCAAACTTCCCAGTGATTCAGTATGAGTCATAGACACTCAGCTTGTGACGAGGGTGGGACTGTTCCCTGACCTTGCTTGGAGAAAGTGCTATGTTGTCCTCTAGAGACAGGCAGCATGCAGACCCTTGAAGACCAGATGCAGAGTCAGGAAGATCTTTGCATGGAGTAGACTTTTAAAACAGGAAGATAATGATTTTGGGGCCTAGAGATAAGTCAAAGAAGGGAACATGGAGCTACTTGGTAGAGGCAGACAAGGAGGGTGGAATATAATCAGTTCTCTGTATCTGTGTTTCTGGTTTTAACCAACCACGAACTAAAAATGTTCAGGGACAAAAAAAAAAAAAGATAAAAATAAAAATTAAAAACCTAAAATGTGTGTCTTGAATATGTCTGATTTTCTTTCTTCCCATGGTTCCTTATACAATGTAGTTGTACAACTCTTTTCACAGCATTCAAACCAAGTTAGGGAGGTTCCTATAGTACAGGGGAGGGTGCTTGGTAGTTCTCTGTAGACCCTACACTATCTTTATGCAAAGCACTTGAATGACCATGGGTTTCAGTTTCTCTTGGGGTCCTGGAACCACTCCTGTTGATATGGAGGCCTGTGCTAAAAACAAAAACAGCAAAAACAAACAAGCAAACAAAATCCCCCAAACAAACAAATAACTGGGCTGGGGATGTAGCTGGCTTGGTAGAGGGCTTGCCCTGTAGACACAGAGTCTTAAGTTTGATCCCTAGTACCATATAAACTGGGCACAGAGGTCCATGCCAGGAGGATCCTCAGTTAAATAGCAAGTTAGTTTCAGGGCAGCTTGAGCTATATAACAAAACAAAATTGGCTGAGGGAGTCAGGCATGGGGGACCAGGACTGCTCCATCTCAGCACTGAGAGACTGAGACAAGGCTTGCAGATTGGAAGTGAATCTTAGCTACAGGAAATGATTAAATAACAACACAAAACAGCAGGAAAGCCTGCTGCTGTGGAGTCAGTCGCAGGGCTTGCTTGGCTCTCAGGTTCTCTCTGCTAACAAGCTGACATTCGGTGAATTTTGTAGGTTCTGGGTGAATAACAGCCACTGTTATGGTTATCAGGAGATCAAAAAGGTTGAAAAGGTTGTATAACAGAGAACAACAATAATAACAACAACAACAAACTGAGGGACACTTTAAAATGAAGACAAAGCCAGGCATAGCAGTTTATGCCTGTAATCCCAGCACCCAGGAGGCAGGAGAATTGCCATAAACTGAGGGACAATTTAAAATGAAGACAAAGCCAGGCATACAGTTTATGCCTGTAATCCCAGCACCCAGGAGGCAGGAGAATTGCCATAAATTCTAGGACAACCTGGACTTCAGAGTGGAATCCTATCTTTAAATACTATGTGAGGGAGATAGGTTTGGAGGCATGGTGGAGTCAGAGCAGATTAAAAAGGCAGAGGTGCACCCAGAAGAGGCCGCAGGAGTGAGAGGAACCAGGAGCCTTATAGGATCAGGATTGATGCCTAGGATGGTACTGGCCTCAGTGTCCTGGAGTCGTGCCCAGTACATTGAGATACAGAGAGTAACCAGGAGCCTCATAGGATCAGGATTGATGCCTAAGATGGTACTGGCCTCAGTGTCCTGGAGTCGTGCCCAGTACATTGAGATACTTAGGAGTTCTGGCATCCCAGCCATGCTGGTGTTGCCAAGGTTACCTGCTGAGCTGCTCCTGGAGCGCCTGCAGCTCTTCTCCCTGTGTCCTCAGCAGCTGCTCCTGGCACTGGGCCTGTTCCTTTGCCAGCTGGAGCTCATACCTGGGGTCCTGGGGACGAGATGGGAAAGGAAGAGTTGAAAGACAACAACCCCAGCTTGGGGCCCACCTGATGAACTAGCCATGCCTCTAGGAGCTGGGTGAGTCTGGGGTTGCCACTTCTTTTCCAGAAATTGCCAAGTTCTTGGACCTGGAGGTCTGGCTAGCAAGGAGGCTGAAGGACATCTTGGGAGAAGCATGTCAAAGCTTTTTGGGAAAAGCGTGTCAAAACGTGACTAGTCCAGAGTACAGTAAAAGAGCTTAGACACTGGGAGACCTCTGCCCTCGCAAAGGAGCCTGACTTTTGTGACCCAAAAGACTTGCTGGGATGTGGTCCCTAACTCAGTGTTGTCATGGCTAGGCAGGAAGTACTGAGGAGTGAAGTAGGCCTCACGGGAAGCAATCATGAGAAGGTACACCGTTTGAGCTGAAGAATGTGGGTCATTCCCAGATAGTGACTCCAAGAAGGCAAGCTAAAATTGGATGTAGAGCTCTGTGTGGTTGCATAAACCCATAACCCCAGCATTTGGGAAGTCAGAGGCAAGAAGATCAGGAATTCAGGGGCATCCTGGTTTTATAGGAAATTTGAGGCCAGCCTGAGTTACAGAAGGTCTTTTCACAAAGAACCCCTTATACTGATCTGTGGGCTGCAATGGCCTCAGGCTATCATTGTAGATCCCTTAGCTGCAAACCAGGTTAAGAGAGGAAACAATAGATAGGTACCTTGACCACCTCTGGCATGGGCACTTCTGCTTGATCCTCCTGCCTGGTCACACTGGTCACTGCTGTCCACTCTTGTGGCTTCTCTGTGGTAGAGTCTTTCTTTATTCCTAGGTCTTGCAGGACCCAGGGCTGCCCCAGAACACTACGCTGATCCCACTCCTGCCTGTTCCCCAATGCTGTGTCTTCTACCCTTTCTGGAAGGCTGGGGGCCAGCATCCCTTGGTCATGGTCCCAATCTGCTGCCTTTCCCTGGGTCCCTTCTGTTATTCCCTGACCTTTAGTCACGGGCAGACTTCCTTTGCCGTCATCTTCCATTCCCGTCGCCTCCTTTTGAGCCCCCTTAGCCCCTTCCCTCTGTTGCTGGCTGCCGGCTGCCGAATTCTCCAGGGATTTACTGTTCTTTGTATCTCCCCCCTTCAGGTCTAGTGGAATTTCCCCCCCTTCTCTTTCCCAAATGCTCTGGGGACAAGTGAGGCTCTTGGAATCCCCTTTCTTCTTTTCCAAAAAGGGGGGAAGACGGCCATGCTGCAAGGGGGTAGGGAGGTCAGGCTGGCGCTCTTCTCTGGGTGCATCTTGCAGACAGCTGGTTCCGTGGGCGTCTCGTCCCTGTAGCTGTCCTCTGGAGCATCTCACCTATAGAGAAGTCCCATCTCAGCATCTGGTCACTGATCTGGGATATAGCCCTGGGCCAAATGGTTTGCTTCTTAGTGGCTTCAGAGGCCTCCTACTTGGAAAGTCACCAGAGATAATCTCAGGAGACCCACAGATCTGAGCTAAAGAACAGCAGGTGTCTCAGTTCCTCTCTTCCCTGCCTCCAGCCAGTGACATGGCCATCTTCCGCCTGGGTTGAGCTTGCCCCCCCCCCCCAGTTCTTCCTCCATCTTCTCCTTTCACCTTTCCTGCTGTGCTTGGTTTTGTGTTTCTGCATTCTCATCTCTAAAAGGGGAACAAGAATTCCTAGTTTATAAAATGGTGATAGAATCTTAAGCAGACAAGTGACTACTCTCAAGAAATCTCTCCCAGTAGGGATGTATGTCAGTGGTAGAACACCTGTCTAATGTGGGTGGCCCTGGATTCGATCCCCAGCATAGCAGGGGCAGGGGCAGGGAAGCTGGTGCTCAAATGCCTGGACACCCAAGACTCTTCTTTAGCATGGTGTCAGGTTTGCCAATAACCAATGCACATCCTCCAATAAGCTGAAGTCCTTTTTTGTGTGGGGGACTCTGAGGGAAAAATAATCCACAATGTTCAGACCAACGCAATCATTTTTTTTCTAAATATTTTGTATGTGCGGTTGGTTGAGTCTACGGATGCACAGCCCACGGATGTGGAAGGGTGACTGCACACTTAGCATAGGTTGCAATGTGTTCCTGATCTGTCTCCATTAACACCCCTTGAACTCTTTCAAGGTCTGAGACTGAGTCCTTAATGGTGCCACATCTGGTGTCTGGAAGCTCGTGGAATGATGACAGCCTTAAGCTGCCACATGAGAACAGAGCCGGAGCTTTGTGCTGAACTGCATGGGGTTATGTCAAGCCGTCTACACAACTCCCCTAGGAAGTAGGACAGGAACTCACCCAAGGACCTTTAGCTGAGTTTAGGAAAGGGCAGAGCTGGGTTGTGAATTGGGAAATCAGGCTCTTTAGTCACTCCCCTAACTGACAGGCAAATTTGAACACCCAGCTCAGGGGTTTCAGTAGAAGTGGGCTCCGTGGTCTGTTTCCTGCAAGCTTCCAGCCACCCCTATTGCCCTCTCCTCATGAGAGCCCCAGTGGCTTCTACAGCTCCTAGAGCTCCCTTGTTCTCCTTATTCCACCCCCCAAGAACAAGACTGCTCCCTGCTCCCTGCTCTCCTATTGATTGCTTCACACACTGCTTCCACCTCTGTTCTCTTTAGCTCTCTGAACACCCACAGGAGGCCCTGCTCAACTCAGGAGTTCCAGTAGATAGATGACCAAAAAGCAAGTCAGGGAGATGGCAGGCAAGGTCACCTCCTTTGGGAAAGCTTCGGGCTTTCTGGATCTTCTTTCCTGGGTCCGGCTGGGATTGGAGCAGCGGGACCTGAAACCAAGAGGCAGAACATCTGGCGTCTTTAGTGGAGGCTACCCCAGCTTCAGAGCCACTCATTCAGATCGCTACCTAAAGCTGAATGCAATGTGGAGCCAGATCTAGATTGAATAACAGGTAGTTTATTAAGAAATAGTACTCATGCAAGTCCGCTTAGCCAGACGGCAGGGAGCGAGAGAAGGGGCCCGGCGAGCGTACCCCTAACTATTTAAATCTTTCCAACGTCACTCTGATGGGCAGTGGTCAGCGACATCTGTGTCCCAGCCCCAAGCGGATGTGGTTAGCATTACCTGTGTCAGCGGTACCTCTATTCATGCTTTCTCCCTAGAGCTACCCTTTCTGTTTTCCACCTTTCCCCTGCGTGGTTCCCTTTCCCCATGTAGCCAATCATTCCATGATCCATCTGTACATCCATTGCATCCTAGCTTCCTGTCACCTATCCATCCTTCTCACTTTCCAGCCAGCATAATCCCTAGCTACATTCTAAATATTTGTCCTTATATACATAGATCAGAGTAGTCCTTACCCCTCATCAAGGAAATTTCTCTTTGCAACGGATGGAAATCATTACAGAAAACAACAACCAATACATACACAATACAGCTACATGTAAGGCTCAGGGATCATTGCAGAAGAGGGGGTTGAAAGATGAGCCAGAGGGTCAGGGAGTTGGCTTCGGGGCTGTATCTTTCAGGAATGTCAGAATCTACACCAATAAAATTTCATCAACATGACTGCCTAAACATGAGCCAATAGCAATAGACAAGTAAACATGAATGAGAGAAAGTTCATGAGGACTCAACCCTACAAAAAGAACCACAGGCAAGTAAGGAATGCTGAGAGCAGGAGAAACAGTCTTCCCACCCATTGATTACCCAATACCAAATGGTTATCCCTAAAACACACATACAAATAACATTGTTGTGTGTGTGTATGTGTGTGTGTGTGTGTGTGTGTGTGT